GAGTTTGTCAGATCTTGTTCATTGTCTTTTCCACTTAGAGAACTGTTCAACCTTTTGCCATTTCTTATTTTACTGGGAGGAAATGCCCTTGTTCCTCTCCAAGGTTAATACTTCCCCTTTACTAGAGGCATCAGAGTCTTTTTCACCATCTGCTTTTCTTTCTACAATCTATCACTCTTCTTTCCTACAGAACTCACTCTCTTTCCAGCAGGTGTAGAACTCAAAACTGGAACATAAAGCTCTTTCTTCTCTCTTGGACCTTCACTAGCATTTTATGCCTTCCCTTTTTCCTAGTTAAAAATAACTGAAGGGTTCTCTTCAGTTCCTGACTGTTCCATTTCCTTGCTCCACACTCGCTGTGTAACACCTTGAGTTTGTGGTTATGCTCACAAATTTCTGAGCTGTTATGCCTTTCTCCTGCATTCCTAGGGCTTCTTTAGTCCTCATTCCTTCATTTATTGAACCAGCAAATATTTGCACAGCTTTCAATTGTCAGACACATTGCTAGGTGCTAGCAATTCTGCAATGAATAAAAACAGGTGAAGATCCCTGCATTTGTGTGTGTATATGAAGGAGTGGGAGAGAGAGAGAGATACTGGCAACTACAAAAATTAGGCACAAAAAGGACATAAACAGTTTTGGAGTGGAGGAGTTTACTATTTTAGATAAAGTGACTGAGAAAACTTTCAATGAAGAGATGACTTTTAAGGAAAATTCTGAAGGAGGTAAAAGAGAATGAGTCATACAACTATCTGGAGAACATTCTAAGCAGAGCAAAGGGTAAATGATTTACACAGTTCCCAAGGCAAGACTATTTCCTATGTTTTTGAAGACCAGCGATGCAGCTAGTCCTCACATTTCTTGAATTCACAGTGATATTTGACATCTGTCCTCCTGTGCTGTTAAAATATTACTCATCCTTTGCTTTGGGGACAAGTAAACTGGAGAGGATGACCATTCTGTTTTGGCCTTCTCCATTTCTTCTGCTAATTTCTTTTCTTCATGCCTGCCTTTTTTCTTTCCCTAGAGGACTTCATGTTGCTCAGCCTTTCCTCTGCATTCACTGTGTATTGCCAAATTGCATTCTTAAGTGATGCTTCTGACTGATTACCAGATATCTAAGCCTGTATAGCACCAGGGAACCAAAAATAAAACATGTTTAACATCTGAATTATTACTTTACCCCTTTTTACCCCCACAAAAAGCCCTAATCATACAACACATGTATTTCCCATGTTCATTTTTGACTTAACTCAGACAGTTGCCCAAATTAGAAAATTTTGTCAGCTATGACTTTGTTACTCATCAGCCTCTACTTATTATGTAATTGGTCATCTTATCAACCTCATTCTCTATCCTCTGTGTCTCCATCTTCAGCAATACTCCTGCCATAATCAACTCGACACTCGGTACATGCTGTCTATACCTGTGTCTAGAATGTTCTTCTCATTCTTCACATCAAGCTCATATGTTACCTCTGAAGTAGATTCTCCCCACCTCCAGTCAGTGGTGTCCTCCGTTGTGTGCTTACCTCTGTAAGTGCCACACAGTGATAAAGGATGAGTATCTTGCTAAACTGTAAGTGCCTTGAAACTGCAGCTATGTCTTATTAATCAGAATACATACTGCTTTCCTGTATTTTCTTGAGTTGGACACATAGAAAAGAAAATAGGTAGGTAGGTACATGAATTTGGACATTAGGGCCCTGCATTACAATATATTTACTATAAAGAGCAAAAATTTTAAATTCCTAAAATACATCTACTGTTATCAATATCCTTTATATATTATAAAGAGAATAGTAAAAAATTTGAGAGTAACTGGAACTAATGTTTTGTTAGCATTTGCTTGAATTCTGAGTATTGTCAAGGCAGACAGCCCTGCTGCAGGCGACAAAGGCCCTAGTATGTGACAGCTTGAACTTCAATTGTTGTCTAGGCTGAGGACAGAGAGCAGCTGTTTTAGAAAAAAACATAAAATTTTAATTATATAAATATAGAATTTGTCTTTGAATAGCAATGTTCTGTCCCTGCTGTTTTTAATTTCTTAATTTAAATAGTTTTTTTTGTTGTTGAAGACATTTTAATTATTGGCAGAAATGTCTCATAAGATTGTTAAAAAAAAAAAGCAAGCAACTAAAGACAGTTTGGAAAATTGGGGGAAAAAGCTTCAGTAAGCTTAAGATACACAGCTTCTGTGTCTTATCTCTCATCAAGAAACTAAAAATTGAGAGGAAGGAGAAACAACTTTTTTTTTTTTTAAAGATTTATTTATTTGTGCATACAGAACTGGGGTACAGGCCAGAGGCTCAGGGATGGTGAGAGGCTTCACCAGAGACAGAGTGGGGAACAGAACAGGCAGATCGACGAAGTACACTGCTGAGGGGAGCAGCGGGCGGGTCAGGAGAGATCTGCCACGCCATGTGGTCACCTCCGGGGCAGGCGGGAATCGAACTCATGCAGAAACGGCTTTAGATTCTCAGTGCTGTGCATTAACCCACTGCGCCACCAGGGAGGGCCCGAGAAACAACTTTTTAAAAATTATAACAAAAGATTGAATCTGAAGACTTTCATGTTCAGTAAAATATGTCTGGATTGTTTAGAAAGTAGTCTATTGAAAGGTGTCATTGAAGAAAAATAAGAAGCAATGAAAGAAATACTATTTTTGACAAAAATTATGTCTTGAGATTTTACTGATATCAAAAAATATATCTATTCTCAATTTTACCTTTTTTTTTAAAGATTTATTATTTATTTATGCATACAGACCTGGGGTACAGGCCAGAGGCTCAGGGGCAGTGAGAGGCTTCACCAGAAACAGAGTGGGGAACAGAGCAGGCAGATCGACAAAGTACACTGCTGAAGGGAGCAGCGAGGGGGTCAGGAGAGGCCTGCCACACCATGTGGTCACCTCCGGGGCAGGCAGGAATCGAACTCATGCGGAAGCGGCTTTAGATTCTCAGTGCTGTGCTTTAACCTGCTGCGCCACCAGGGAGGGCCTCAATTTTACCTTTTTAAAATGAGTGCTTCAATTTTATATGACATTGCAAGAATATATGATGTATTTTAACGATTGCACTTTACTCCCTTTCTTCAAGTAGCTATCCAGGATAACAGTTACTTTTACTCACCATGTAGGAAATAAATCGCTGTCCTATTCCCATTACAGAGTTTACTCATTTTGATTCAGGAAGGAATATTGTGGCTAGAAATTACAACAAATTAAATGGAGCAGTTAAATTTTATTTTTTTATAAAGTGACTTTTCATACACAGCAATTTCAAAATGTCAACTAGCATATTCTTACTGCCAAACTGAAAGGCCATTTATGCTGTTGATATATGAGGACATAGTAGAAATAATTTGTATGATAGGCTTGCAAAAGGAGCAGAAGGCTGGATAGATGAGGTGGAGATGAGTTGCAGTTGAAACCAGTAAAAGGTGAGATTTCGAGTGACTCTAGAAAGCTGGTGATATTTTAAATGTAGAGACTTCACAAGTTATATTAAGGTCCTAACACAAGTTATATTGTTCACTCAAATATACTCTGACACCTAAAGTTGGGAACAAACTTAAAATACTGTTTGCTTGAACAGTAATGGCTTCAAAACATTTTCTCACCCTTCCTGCTAGCTTATATTAGCAACTAATGGAACATTCCTTTAAACATGGAACAAGGTAAACAAATTCCATTATAATTATGATGTTGTTGCTTTCTCAGTTTTACCAGACTCTGTCATGTGAATCTACTGTGCCGAAAGGTGGTTTTACCTTGGTTTCCTGATCTTTTTCTGACTCATCCTTGAGCTTTTATAAGGACGAGTGAACATGTCATCTGACAGATAGGGTCAGATTTACATTCCTTTTACAAGTAGGTGAATGAGCATGTTTGGGAGGCAGGGCGAGTTGGCACACTAGAAGAGTGTGAGGTGGAGTGCCAGCATGCTCTTTGATATAGAAGCTCAGTCTGTCTTTATACAACCCAGTGTGGTTAGGTGGCTTTACAAATAACCTTATTATGAGCAAGTAAAATACACTCTTGGACATGTAAGAATTTCCAGTGCTGTCCACCATTTGCATGAATGCAAGTTTACCTTTTTAAAATCAGTGTTTCAATTTTTGTGAATCTTTAAAGCATTTAAAGAATATTTGTTGTATCTTAATGATTAGCCTTTAGTGCTCTTTCTTCAAGTAGCAATCCAGGATGAGCAGTTATTTATACTTGCTATAAAGGGATTAAATCTCTATTTGTGTTACCATGAAGGGTTCAAAATGGACTTTTCCTCAGAATTGCTGCCCCTACCTTCTCTTCTTGAGAAACATTTTTACAAATGGGAGTGTCTTGGGTCAAGAGTACCAAAGTGATGAGGCTTAGTGTTTAGGTGTGGACTAGTGTACCAAAGTGTTTGAATAACTGTTCATCATTCATAGTAGTAAAGGCTAAATTTAAATACACATGAGTTTTTTTTTTTTTTTTCTTTTCAGTCCCTCTACAGATCTTTCGTACTTCCCTCCTTTCTCATTGGGCACCCTTTCCTCTAGTCATGTTAAACCCCTTTAAAGCTTCCTTTCACTAACAACAGAGAATGCAGATGAGGGGCAGAAGGAAGGAAAAGGGAGAAAACCACAAGAGGAGAGAGGGAGGGGGATAGACAAGCATCACATAGTCACTACTAGGTCTTTTTTTTTTTTTTTTCTTTCCTCTAGAAAGCATCCTGAGTTAGCTCCTCCGCTCTCACCACTCACCACTGAATCTGGACTAGTGACTCCGGGTCTTGGGTCTCTGTTCTGGGCAGTGCCCTGGTCTCCCTTCCTGCCATTGACTATGCAGTTTTGTTGTGCTGCCTGTGCTCTTGAGCTGACTGTGTGAACTGCCCAGGGGCGCAGAATCATTCTACTTAACCCATGTTTCCCTGGCACACAGTGTCATGTAATAGGTTCTCAGCCAGTGTTATTTTTTTTAGATAATGGTTCTTATTGACCTCTGTTTTGTTTTCAAAGTTTTCCCAAAGTGAAGACAGAAGAAACCATGCTGAGAAGCTAATCACTCCTCCAAAGCAGGAAGATTCCAAAAAGTCAAATGACCTTCCAAGTTCCACCTCAGACCTCAAGATAGGAGAAAGCGATCGCCAGCCAAAAGAAAGCTTTTTTCAGTTTCTTGGAAACTTATTCAATATCTCAGGCAGAACATCCCTTGGTGAAACTAAGCAGTCTTCTTTCAAAGATGACCAAGACAAAACTGAGAGAGATTTGCAGAGTCCCGGTGACCATCCTGGGGAGGGCACCAAGCAGGAGAGGGATGTCTTTTGCGACTCCCCGGGAACCCAGGCACTTCCAGTGGAAGAACAAGAGTCCACCTCCACGGAACTCTCTGAAGCCTTTTCTTTGGATACTACACAAGACAGTGAGCAAGAAATCGGTGATGTGCCAAAGTAAGTTCAAAATTTACTGAACCAAAAATATTGAGCAATCGGATCTAACTTTTGAGTTTTGAGCTCTATTGTTAATTGAGAGGATTGGAAAAAGTGTTCTTTAATGTGACTGTTCCTGAGTAAAAAATTAGCTAATTTTGTCCCTCAGGCCTTTTAAGGTATTGTAGGTATTGGTACTAATACCTTTTAGGTGCTAACTTTGTCATAGTATGATATTTATTTCTAATTTCACTTCCTTAAAGAAGTATGTGAATTATTCCTATATTAACATAGGCATGTGTTTAGTAGCTACATTTAAGGAACAAAAATAGTCCTGAGATTTATATTCCATTCTGTTAATACTTTTTTCTTTAAAAAGGGCACAGAAGGGTTAAATTGACGATTTATAAAACTTGCCTTATGCACCTTTTCATAGCTCTAAGAAACTGAAATCATGCCCAGATTTAAGGAACATTTTACCACTATTTTTCCCCCCTTTGGTTAACAAACTCACTAACTTGTTTTTCTTTTATTCAGATGAGCTAGAAGGAATGTTTTCTATACCAAAAGTTTTAAGAGTAATTTGAGTCCACTAAATATCTCACCTAGCAAGTGTATTCAATCATAACTAGTAAGAATCAGTTTTGTTGATTTTAACCTAACATGTACTTGAAAATTGTTTTTAAGAGGTCATCATTAATACTGGTGATGTAGGTGATAACTTAGAACGCTGTCATTCTTTGTAGTTTCAAAGTGTCTTTGCATGTGCGTGCTTTCAGTTAATTCCTCATAGCAATCTTAAACTATAAGCACAGACATCTCACAGCTTACAGTTGTGAGAACTGAGGTGTAGGTGAGTTTTTCCATCAAAAGTGACGTGGTAAGGTTTTGCCCTACCAAATGTAAATGTACTGATAAATCTACAGTTATGAAACAGTGTCATTGATCTGATATATCTGCTAGAAATTTAAATGTAACAAGATATTCTAAAAATAGATTCATATATACTAGTTACTTGAACCCCTGATTTACAGCCCTACATATGCTTGGAGAAGGGAGGACTTGGGGTATTGGTTAATAATTTAGGGAAAAAATAAGAACTAGATACTTAGCACATTTTTATATTAAAATTAATTAAAAGTAACAGATGCTTAATACACAAAAACTAAAAGTAGCTAAATGTGAATTCTTTTAGTGATAAACAATTTTGTAAGTGTGATTAGCAATGGGGAGGCATCAGGAGAGAAGATCAGGAAACTGGGTTACTGCCAATTTTTAAAATTTCTTATTTTAGCAAAATAAACAATGTTAAGGGCCCTCCCTGGTGGCACAGTGGGTTAAAGCATAGCACTAAGAAGTTAAAGCCACTTCAGCATGAGTTCAATCCCCACCCGGAGGTGACCTACATGGGACGGCAGACCTCACCTGACCCGCACGCTGCTCCCCTCAGCAGTGTACCTTATCAATCGGCTTGTTCTGCTCCCCACTCTGTCTCTGGTGAATCCTCTCATTGCCCTTGCACCTCTGGCCTGTACCCCAGTTCTGTATGCATAAATAAATCTTAAAAAATAAATAATGCTAAATAAATTGGCAAAGAGAACTGTATTTAAAAAGTCAGAAGATGCTTTAACACATTAAGCAACTTAGACACTAACAATAGAAAAATATGGACAATGTAAATAAATCATTCCAATAAAAGAAATATAAACTGAGCTAGCAATCAAGAAAGTGCTAGGATAACTTTTAGCCTGTTTATATAGTAATAATAAATATTCTACTCTGTGTCCCCCAGAATTGATAAAACCTGGTGTTCATATATTCTGCTAGGAGTGGAGTGTATAAATTGGTGGCTCATTTCAGGGCAATATGGTATCTATGATCTTAAAAAGCTGTTGTTTTTAAAGATGTATAAAGGTTTTATGGGGCCTCCATGGTGTCCTGGAGGTTAAGTCTCAGCTCTTGGGCTGAGTTTGATCACCGGCTAGGGAGCTGACCCACCTAGCACAGACCTCTCCTGTTTCCCTGCTGCTCCCCTCAGTAGTGTATTTTAGTAGATCTGCCTGTTCTGCTCCCGACTCTGTCTCTAGTGAGAGCACCCCCTGCACCTTACACCCCAGTTCTTCTATACACAAATATTTTTTAAAGTAAAAAATATTTTATTAAACATTAATATAGGAGCATACAACAGCAGTAAAGTGTTCTAAAGCAGTACTGTTCACAGCATGTTCCTCTAGTCACCAGCATCTGTGTCCCCTGGAGCTGATTAGAAATGCAAATGATCTGGTTCTTACCACTGACTCAGTCCCTGGGAGTGGAGCCCAGCCAGCTTCCAAATATCATTCCTGGTGACTTTCAGTTCTAAAGTAATTTAAGATGCTACAGATTTTGAGGCTTGATACATGGGAAAGTTTGGACTTTTTTCCTTGCTTTTGATTAGAAGGTCAGTTTACGTTCTTTGTTGCTGAACAAGAGAAAAGTAGAAGATATTCTGCCTCTTCTTTTT